ACAACCGGCTCCACACACTTCGCCCCACGGTGCATCCACGTCTAGTGCGTCCCCCAATTGGATCAACAGGTTCAACATGTTGGAGCGGGGGCAGCAACAATTAAAAGAGTCCGTCCACTCATTACGACAAGATATGGGCACACAATTCCATGCCATTAACGCGCGTCTGGATGGTTTTGGCACTACACTAGGGACGATGAACCAGTTGATACAAGATTTGCACCACTTTTCTCTACCTCATGATTATGCACCTCCACCGCCACCTCAATGAGCGGTGAGTCCCTCTTATCCCCCTTTCAATTACTCAAACACATTGAGGACAATGTGCAATTCAAGCATGGGGGAGTGCGTTGGTATTTCATGTCTTTATGTATGCTTTGGTGTGTTTTTGACTGTGTTTTTGTGTGCTTGTTTTCTGTGATTGGGATTTTTAATTTAGTTTATGATTAAAAAAAAAAAAGAAAAGAGTACCACTGTTTGAAAACTCTTCTAACACGTGCATCATTTATTTCATATGCCCCATTGTTAAAAAAAATTCTTTTGTTTCATGTTCAGTTGGTTAGGATGTTATCTGTTCGAGTTCCACTTTGTCGATACTTAACTCTAAACATTAGAGAGATAGGAATGGATTTTGGCTCAACCCATCTAATTAAAACCTAAGCTTCTTTGGTGACTTGGAATACTTTTTGGTTACTGGAGAAACACTCGGCCTTGTAAAAAAAAAGTCCTAAAGTCTGTTGCACCGAGTACCTAGCACCGCACCCTCAGAAGTATGGCTGTCACGTCAGTAGGTGTTAATTATGACGGGATTTTCAAAAAAAAATGAAAAAAAATTTGAATAAAATGCAAGGAAACCGAGTGCTCCTTTGAGACCTTAAGTAGGAAGAGTATGACCCATTGTGATGAGATATGTGTCTGTCACGGGGAGTTTTGGGTAATCAAAATTTTTTTTTAAACTTTGTCATGCCACTTCTTTTTCCAACGTTTATGAGTTGAGTCACTTGCACTAACGTACGTGAACGCCTACAGATACATTTTCTTCAACTTTGAACTTGAAACAATATTTCTATTTTGACATTGGGTTGAGTGGAATAATGTTGCATGTGGACTTGAGAATAGTGGATACCTTTGTGCTTAATTTCTATTTTCTTTGAATCTGTACCCACTCATGTGTGTGTTTCCATCTGTTTTGCTTGAGGACAAGCAATAATTCAAGCATGGGGGAGTTGATAAACATGAATATTATCTATATTTTGACTATGTTTCACCTACGGATTCATTATTATTTGATGTATTTCCTTGCACTTTTGCCCTGTTAAGCTCCCTAGTTCTTGTTTACTGCTCTATTTATATATTGTGTAGGACTTACTGGAGTTTAGCGCGGATTCAGAGTCAAGAAGGAGTCAAGGAATGCAAGGAAAGTGGCTACACGGTCACCCAGTGTTCATCAACACAGGCGTGTTGATTACAGAAGAAAAGCCCAGAAAGCAGAGCGCTACACGGTCACCCAGTGTTCATCAACACAGGCGTGTTGATTACAGAAGAAAAGCCCAGAAAGCAGAGCGAAACAGAATTAAACACGGCCTGGTCGTGTCGATCTGCACAGCCATGTTGGATGACAACAGTCAGTTATCATGCGATCTGAAGCAATATTTGAAGTTATCTTTCAACACGTTTTTCCCAGAATTAAAAGGGAGACGCCCTGAAGCACCTGAGGAGAGACCAGAGGCTGGAGATCTTGAATTTTTCTTTCTTCTTCTTCTCTTCTTCTCTCTAAAAACTCTTAGATTAGTTTTCTTTTGATTTGGAACCTGCTGTTTGTGGAGAATTGTGTGCAACTTCGACACTACGGTTTATCTTTCTGATCTATTTCAATTTCTAGTTTATGATTATGATCTTATATATTGTTATCATGTTTTCTATTTCAATTATGTGTGAGTAATTGTCTTATCTGGGATTGAACTAGGTTCGGCCATGGTTATGAATTAATGAACTGATTGTTGTTGTTATTGATTGTTCGATTTGCATTATTCAATTACTAGTATCTAATTGCCTAGGGTTAATTCAATTGGCCACTGATTTAATTCTTTTAGGATGTTGATTTGAACTAAAAGGTTAGATTAACGCCGGAAAATAGTAATTGAACAAGAATTAATTGATCACGAAAGTAGGTTAATTATTCTTGAGAACATGAGGGATTAACAAGAACTTAATGGGTTTAATTTGGTTTAACACTATGAAAATAGGTTGTTAGGCTGAATTAGGCACGACTTTTAGTCGTCGAAAGAGACTAATAGTTATCATAGGTTAGTCGTTCTTAATGCATTGAGAGATTCGATAACAATTGATTAATTCGTTGATTCAAACCAGAGTTGAAACCGAAGTTCAATCCTAGATTCTTTTAATTGAGTGAATTCGTCGTTGATACTAGCTAGCGTGTTCGTTATTGATAGTAAAAAAAAATCATACTTTTTAACACGATTGGTTTAGATAGTCACAAAATAGTGAAAATCAGTAATTAACAACGAAGTCCCTGAGGATACGACCTTGCATCGCTATAACGATATCCGTGCACTTGCGGATTTGAGTGAACAGTGCTGTTGGATATAAGTGGGTGTATACGGTTAAGCAAACTCTAGAGGGCAAGATCGACAGATACAAAGCCAGATTGGTTGCTAAAGGCTACAGTCAAACGTATGGCATTGACTATGACGAGACATTTGCTCCAGTAGTAAAGATGAGAACTGTTAGAGTATTGGTGTCATATGCTGCCAACTTCAATTGGCAACTACATCAGCTAGATGTCAAGAATGCCTTTTTGCATGGAGATATCCAGGAGGAGGTGTATATAGAGATTCCACCAGGCTTCACTACTTCTCAAGTAGCTGGGAAGATGTGCAAGTTGAAGAAGTCTTTGTATGGGTTAAAACAGTCTCCGAGGGCATGGTTTGACAGATTCAGGTTGGCAGTCTGCGGTATGGGGTACAAGCAGTGCAATGAGGATCATACTGTGTTCTACAGGCACTCCAAAACTCGTATCACTATTTTGGCGGTCTATGTTGATGATATTTTAATCACTGGAGATGATGTTGAAAAAATCCTACGGTTGAAGAAGAAATTAAGAGAGGAATTTGAAGTTAAAGATCTGGGGCAGTTGAAATACTTCATTGGAATTGAAATTGCAAGGTCGCGAAAGGGTATAGTGCTTTCTCAGCGGAAGTATGCTCTGGATCTTCTCTCAGAGACAGGAATGTTAGGGTGCAGAGTTACATCTACTCCTATCGAGCAGAATCATAAGATGTGTGCCGAGGGTGGTGACCTAGTGAGTAAAGAGCAATATCAAAGACTAGTTGGACGACTTATATATTTATGCCATACAAGACCTGATATCACTCATGCTGTGAGTGTGGTGAGTAGATATATGCATGATCTCAGAGAGCAGCATATGGAGGCAGTTCGCAGAATTCTTAGATATATTAAGGGAAGCCCAGGAAAGGGGTTGTGGTTCAGAAGTTCTAGACATCTGAGAGTTGAAGGCTACTGTGATGCTGATTGGAAGGGTGATCATAGGTCCACTACAGGCTACTGTGTATTTGTTGGAGGTAATCTCGTATATTGGCGTAGCAAGAAGCAAGATGTGGTGGCTAGGTCTACAGCTGAGACGGAATACAGGGCTATGGCAGTTGGTCTATGCGAGTTGATGTGGGTCAAAAATATATTATCTGAGCTGCGCTTGTTTAGAAGAGACTCCTTACAATCCTTACAACTTTGGTGTGACAACAAATCGGCGATTAATATTGCAAACAATCCAGTTCAGCATGATCGCACCAAACATGTGGAGATCGATCGGTTCTTTATCAAGGAGCAACTGAATAGAGGAGTTCTGACTTTGAGATATGTGAAATCAGAAGAGCAGTTAGCTGATTGTTTAACAAAAGAATTAAGTTCTAGAGAGTATGATATCTTTTGTAACAAGATGGGGATGATTGATATCTATCGCCCATCTTGAGGGGGAGTGTTGAGTTATTTAGATAGTAATTAGTCAATGTTGTAAGGACCTATTTGTAATAGTGCACTTATATAAAAGGGGTACCTCTCTATGATAGAGAATAACCCTAATTTTACCCTAAAAATCCACAGTAATACACTTGTACATCGAGAGGAGTGTGTGGTGAGAGACGGATTCGTCCCAAGAGGAGTAGCGTCGGTAGTAAAGCCTAGGGAGAGGTCGTAAATCCGAATAGTTGAGGAAGACACGGGCTAGAGACCAACACTTAGAGGGTGTAGAATAGGATTGCAAGAGTGTTGATTGTAAAGTTTTCGGTGAGCTAGAAAACCGAGTGTGAGGTGTATACGTTATTCGGGTGAGCGTTGAAAACCCGGTTGTGTAGTGGATTTCTCTCCGGGAGTGGGGAGCGGAGACGTAGGACGGAAGGTCCGAACTCCGTGATTATTTGCTTGTGTTTGAGTTTGCTTTGACGTTTTATTTGTGCTTAGTGTTCATTACATTTTTGTCATCATTGTCAATTGCTCTTTGTTTATATTATCCACTATCTTGTTTATATTACTTTCTGTTTATATCACCCTTAGTTTCATATCCTTGCATATTAGGTGTTGCATATCTAATTTGATAGGATATTTGTTAATAAGTTTTTAATTGGCATTAAATCGGATTAGATTAGCATAAACCCTATTCACCACCCTCTAGGATTCTTTCCTAGTGACATTAGGGTCTAACATCTTGTGCATGTAAATATGTGTGGCACGTCTAAATCACATTCTTATAGATCTGGTTATTATTTTTATCCACTTCTGACACGCAGAAATTCTCAATCTGGAGAACTGCTTCTGGGTCTATGAGCAGGGTGGCAGTTTCAACATATGCTAGCTTACACATTTGACAAGCTCAAAATATTCATCTTCAGGACGACCTACAAGGCCCTCCAGCCACTTAAGGACACATTAAACCACATAAAAAGAGTGGAAAAAAGAAGAGCATGGGCACAAAAAACTGGCATTACATTAGAACTTGCAATGAATATGTAGAATCCTTTGTTCCCATGAATTTCCTTTACATATGATAATAAAATTTTCCAGAGGAAACAGATCAGCCTAAATAGTTTGTGTAGTACTTCAGAAGCATCACAAATGCAGTAGTTTTCAATATTACAAATAAATAGGATAAAACTGTATAATGGTATTTTTGCTCACTCATTCAACTCAATCCTGAAGGGTGAAAGTAAAGGTACGTCATCAGTTTGTTCTACTTTATTTGCCCCAACGTCCCATGCTGATGAAAAACCTCGTGAATTAGATACCGGTTCATCGATATTTGCTGGTAATTTATCCACCAAATAGGGGGCAACATGCTTTTTCATGTCATCTCGTGAGATACCTAGATGCTTTCCTGGCACACTCAGATACTTAACTCGTCCAGCATCATCCAAGGTTTTCAAGCCTATCCAGTCCTCCATGTACAGAGCAGTCTGCAACATTTACGTGCACCTCAATTAGTACTGTGATGCCCCACTAATAGTCCCATATAGAAAAATTTAAAAAGTTTATAAGAGGGTTTAAATGATGGGTCTTGAGAGCCAAGTGCAATATTGGCTAGTCAATTTTGACAATGAATTGAGCCAAAGCATGTGTCACACTCTTGTGGGTTCTACGGCTTACATCGCACCAACATGCTAGCGGGCCCAGGGCGTGACAACTACAAATGGAGAACACTATTTCACAAATCTTTTAAACCTCATGAGATGTTTTTCCATTTTATTTAAATATATATATTTTTTTATTAGTCCCCTAAATCATTAATGTTTTGAAACAAGTCACACATCATTGGAAGTGCTATGGCAACCCCAACACCCCCTCCCCACGGGCCCTGCACCCTAAAAAAATTCATACCTGAAATGATTGAAATTGGTACTAGGTCCCCCAATTCGTAGAAGTTGTTTCGAATTAATCCTCCAATCAAGAGTCGCAAAAACAAGATATAAGAATGAATGACACTTAGTAGCAGTTTCTATGATTTGAGGTACTAATTTCAAAATACTAAAATTTAAGGGACTAGTGTCAAAAGAACCTAAATAAATAACAAGGAAAAGGAGTGACATCTTCGATGAAAAAAAAGGAAGAAGAAAAAATGATTAAATAATAGCAGTATCTGTAATATAAAGATGATTTTTTTTATTCCAAAGCAAAGATCTTTGAAAGGATATTGCTTTTATGTCAAAGCACAAGCGATTTCGAAGGCAATTGATCTTGTTTATTTCGACAGCAGGCTTTAACCAAAGTATAGTTCGGTGAAGGGGTTACTTGAGCCCGAGGGAAAAAAGGGGTTTAACCAAATTTACCTTCTTAAGTTTTAAAATTTTGAACTGTTTTGAACTTATGGAAACAGACCCTTCTAGCTCTATTTTACCGGATGACGTACGTGCTAGTTTATATGTCCATTGTTGGCAATAACAACATCTAAGTCTTATCTTTCGTATTTAATGGGAAGTTGCCAGAAAGTTCTGCATACGATGTAGCTCTAACACGACTGAATATCGTGCTAGTTTATATGTCCATTGTTGGCAATAACAACATCTAAGTCTTATCTTTCGTATTTAATGGAAGTTGCCAGAAAGTTCTGCATACGATGTAGCTCTAACACGACTGAATATCAAACTAAATACTTAAATGACTGATTGGCAGATGTTTCTGTTGAAGAAAGATTATAAAGATGACAGCTAATTTCCTTTGTTATTCAGTTTGTCCTTGATATAATTGTTAAATATGGTGATTATGTGAAAGTTTAACTTTAAAGGTAAGCAAATAAAGGTAGAATTTCTTAAAGACAAACATTGAGTTTCATTATGGCAAACTTGAGTTTAATATAGTAGCTTATATCGCGAGCTACAAATTTGATAGATGACTCAAGATTAAACCAACTACAGTAAGTCATGAACTGTCGGCTTTTAAGTATTAACATATTTTCTCTGAACAATAAGTAAGATGCTCCTTTTACTGATTCCTCAAGCAGTGTTTAATGATCTGAATTCTCTTAGTAATAAGTAACAAACATATAGGATGGACTAAGAAGACAGGTTTCACGAAATCCTTTAGTTACTCAAGCTTTTATCTAGTATCATGGAGTGATATATAAGGTCAAGTGATCCACTTTAGTTAATGGCTGGTCTAAATGCAACCATCTTGTATCCTTTCTCTACCATCTAAAAGAAAAACTTAAGACGTGAACGAAAAGTTCAAAGCAATGCAATATCACAATCAATGTGATGACAAATAGTAGAACAGAGTACAGCAGAAGGTTTAATTACATGCCTTTTAGACGAGTGCCACAAATGGAAGATTTCTTTGACTTACAATAGTCATTGGACGGAACCTCAGTGATTTATCTATGGTTTAGTAGTAGGGGCAGTTTATTAAGAATTCCCTCTAAATCAGACTATAAGAGGAGGTGGCTTCAAGTCTTATTTCTGTAAATAATGTTGGATGCTCTATTTGTGGAAGCATCTTCTCGAAAACATCAAGTCATATCCATAGTGTCACAGTGATCCGCGATATGGAGTCATTTAACATATGCTATGCAGTTATTCGTTTCAGAGCAAAATGACAAGCCTATCCCAAGAGATGTTATTACTGCATTTAGATGAATATCAAAGAAATATAGATAGTGTTAATCAAGTACCCAAGAAAAGCACTCATTGCAATATGTTAGCAATATAAAAATAATAAATAAACCCATGCCAACAATTGCAATGGAAAAAAAAAACCTGTTGCGTTGGGAGAACTGGGCTGAAGGTGCCGTCAGCATAATAACCGAACCATGATGTTTCTCGAGGAATCAATACTGTGTCATGCTCAAACTAATAAACAGTGCAGAACATTAGTCCCTTTAAGATAAATAAAGTTATTAGAAAAGGAACCCAGATTCTTATATAATAAAAAAGATCCAATATTGTGGATGATCCAATAAGTATCTGTTCATGTTTAATCAGAGCATCAAAATAAACACAATTTGTGTAGGAACTAACCATGATTAGGACCATGTTCTGTAAGCTACTTAGCCTTTCCTTATAAGTCGAGTTCCTCTTGTTAGCATATTCATTGTTAAGCTTGGGGAGAAATCTGCATCCTTCCATATATGCCGGTATATCCTAGAAACAAGGAAGTACATAATCACATCAATAAGATTAATCAATAGATACAAGACCAGTTGATAAAGCAACAGAGAATCAAGGCATGTTGGGAAAGCTGGTGCTATGTGATAGATATGACAAAATACAACTAAAGCTAACAATACTGGTCACATTGCGAATGTGCAGGTATTTTTGTGCAACAGCTGTTGCTTGCAGATTCCTTTTTCATTTAGTTTCTCAATAGAGGGAAAGAAGGATATAGACACAGCTGGCGATGAAGGAATTTATTATGGGATCTCATTTTTGAAATCTTCAAAGTGTCCGCCACCAGGGGCGGATTGCCATCTTTTTTTTTGGAGCTGAGGATTTTTTTTTGGGTTGGGTTGGGGGGGGGGG